ATTTGTGTAAGTTCAAGTGATAGTGTGTATGTGTGTAACAACTGCTAGTGTTGATTTAAATTATGAAGAGTTGTTCACCTTTAACTGATAAGCTAAAGTTGATTGAATGTACAATTACTGTTTTGTAGTGATAAAGTCACTTTTTAGTAAATTGTAAGTTAAGTTTCTTCATGCAGCAATAGTTGTGCGAGTTGTGTTGAGAGGTTGGTAGCAGTTATTGAGTCAGTGTGTTGGCATGCGTGGGGTCTGCTGGTATCTCTCGAAACTCAGTATCTGACTGACTTGAATTAAGTCGAGCGATTCCTTTTATAGATTTTCGAGTTTCCAAATAGGCTCCAGAGACCTGCACGGGAAAAAGGTTTATTTCAACTTTGCTACATTTTAGTGTCCTTTTAACCAATGGGGGATTGAGTTTGGAAAAGTAAAGTGATGATTGGTTAAAGGTTTATTTGGGAAAGAGTGCATCTTCCCGTAGGGGTGACAGGCAAATGTGGAGGATTCCATAATAGTAATGAAATTGTATAAAAAAGAGACACACTTAAAGATTGTTCGAACATAGCCATTGGTACCAACAGTTTATTATAGGAGCAGTATTTTTCTTACTGATTGAGCTTTATCTGAGATAAAATTTAGTTATTTCTTCCATTGATGTATTGTAAATTACATAAGTATGGATGACATGCCCTTTTCCCTGGTAAAAATCTTAGCTATAATGCTAGCTAAAAAAAAAAAATGAATCAACAAGCCTTACAGACTAGTCTGATTATAAGATTTGTAAATAATTATTTTATCATTCATTTACATTTTCACATCTGATAATTGATGGTTATCACTAAGGATTAAGCATTTTCAAATCTCCAGTACCCTCTTCAGCAATTCTGTCAGACCCAAGCACTGTTATTGTCTGCATGTTCTCAATCTTTCCTTAAATCTCCATTCCTGTCAATCTTGTCTTTAGATTTTTAAAAACTGTTCTCACAATTCAAATTCTCATGTTCCTCTGCTTCTTCAGTTCTAAACCAGTCTTGCTTTTTTTAAAAGGTCCTATGAATTTTTGAAGCATATATGATATTTTAACATCAATTTGAATTGATAGTGATTGACCATAGAAGATAAAGAAAACTGTTAATAAAACATTTCATGGTCCATGATATTTGCAAACCATTTCTTTGTCATCATTTTACTTATTTTTATTATCTTTATTAATTCCCCTAGTGAATGTGGATTGTATAAAGTTTTTATCTTTTGTTTAGTTTAAGCCCTTGTGTTTTCTTTGCAGTCAGTCTTTTGTATAATTTGTTTACAAAATAAAAAAAAAAATATCACAAATTCTTGTTTATGGGGCATAAATTTAATTGATTTTGTGTCATAATATTATACCAATTTGATTTTATTGCAATTTATTTCTATTTTTGTTCAAATTTCTGTTTTTAAAAAATTAAAAAGAAAAAACAAAACTTTTTCATGTCAGTGTTTAAACAGAAAAGTATAATATATTTTTCTCCTCCTATCATTAGGAAAGAAACGCAAAACTGGTAAGCGGGTCTCTTAATTCTTTCTAACCATATTTTTAACCTTCTCTTTCTTCTATTTTCTGCCCATTCAATAATAGTATTTTGTAACTACCCTTCTCTTCAATTTACTTATTAACTTTAACTAACCCAAACATTGGCACCAAAATAACTATGGACAATTTAACTTATATATATAAATAAAATACCTGTCTTTATTTTCTGTCTACCAAGGCCATTAATTATGATTTTTAAGCTGACTACAGAAAAAAAAAAAAAAAAATTAGTATCCTTAAACTCTTTTGTAAATTTATCAAAACTCATAAAATATTAAAAAGAAAAAGACAGTTTCTAGTCTTTGCAATGTTTAGAAAGCTTGATGTGGCTGCCACTAGTATGGAAATAAAAAAAATAAAAAAAATGTAAAGTAATAGTAGTTATCATTTTCTACTATGATTTTTTTTCTCTTTTCATTAGCAAATCAGAAAATTAAAAAACCAAAAAAGAAAGTCAAGCTTTGGTTTGTTATAATCATCTTTGCTCTTGAATTGTTATTGTAATGTTTTTGCTAACAATTTTTTTCTTGGCACAAGTTACTTCCCCTTCTCCCTCTCCTTCACAAGTGAATCCAATTATTTATTCAATTACTCTCTGCCCTTCACTCTTTCACTCACTGTTATGTTCTTATATATATATATATATATATATATATATATATATATATATTGATGATGTAATGGAATAACCTGTCACCCCAATGAGTAACTACACTATAGGTATCTGTAAATCAATGGACTATGGAGTCTAGCTGGGGATCTGTTGAGTACGACTCAGACTTATGCGAGAACTACCGACCTTCCAATAGTAACACTCACTACTGGATTGACGTGATGATCATGCGCATAACTACCTTATTTTGTATTGTACTGGTTTTTACAATAAACCTTTACTTATTTTATCCACCGTGTTTTTCAAGTATATATTCCTATTAGCACAGAATATAACATATATATGTATAAATATATCTGAAATTTGCATTGGAGTAATTCTGTTTTTTTTTTTTTATTTATTCTTTCCCACTATTTTTATTCTTGATGATATTCTGAAATAGCCATAGACTATGCCATAGATAAAGCTATCATCACCTAAGCATTATTGTGTTTTGTCTCCTTCCAACAGTGTTAGATCCATTTACTATAATAATCACACTATATTTTGGGTATATAAGACACCTCTATTAACATTTAATAATACAGTTAAACATGTAGACTACAGTGTCTGGGTAGAGATAAGCCTTATAGATACCTTGACTTTAATCATAAAATGCTGGGAGATCTGTTCAGCCATTTTAATGAAGAAAAATGGTGGTCTTATATGTCATCAGATGGAGTAATAACTGTACCAAAAATGTACTACTAAAATCATTGTATCTCTTTTACCAATATTCAGTATTCCAGTCACTGTCCAGACTTATCAAAGAATTTCCTGATGAAATTAAATTAAAAACAAAAAGAAAAAAAAAATAACCATTTTGGCAAAATTGGAGCAGCTAGACTGAGTCATGATTCTTCTTTGACTAATACTATTGACACATTTTTATTGTTTCTTTCTATTGTGTTATGTCCCAGATAAAATCAGTTTTCTCTGATTTAATGTTCATAATTTTAAATTTATAACATATGTATGATTTTAGCTGTTTTATATACGAAAATCATAAAAGTTTCTTTAAGTACAAACTCATTCTTTTTTGTCTGCATAAAACTTATATCAGATAAATAGGCATTTATATGTTCAGCTAAAGTCTATATTAATAGAACCAGAGTGGCAAAAGTAATAAATTGTACTCAGTAAACAGCAATGCTTTTTATATTCCTCTGTGTATCAATGATAAATATTTTCATTCATTGTAAATGAGAAAAAAATTGTTTTTGTTTTTCTTAATCTGCACTGAGAAATAACTTTCTTTTTTTCACAGTTTTTTTTACCACAGATTCCATCATTTAAAAATATTCCAGTTTTACTGTTTCTTTTTATCTTGAAAAATTGTTTCAAGCATTAAGTTCAGAAATAAAATTTATATTTTAATACTTTTAATAAATGAAAATTGGTTTTAAAAATTTTATTTCAATTTTTTTAAGCCACCAGTGTTCTTCCTCATTTTTTACTGACAGCAATAAAATAAATTTATCTTTTGAAATGTATTCACAATTTTTACAGAACTTTGTTTTTCAGTTGTTCATGTTTTTTGTTTGTTTTTTTATATTTTTTATTGTTCTTTTTTGTTGTTTTTAAATTTTGTTTTATACATGAATTTTTTTTATGAACTGTCTTTCATTTTTTTCATATTTTATGCAAAATTTAAATTTCTCTGACTCTACATAGAAACACATTGTTTCCACAGGTGAACACATTATCCATTGTTCAAATGAAAATCCTACACATAATTTCATTGTCATCATCGTTTGACAATTTTAAAAACTCTTGTTATTGCATATATTTCTTTTATAATTTTGTCACTCACCATCCATTTCTTTAAATCACAAATATAAAATTCAATTTTAACCATTTTATTTAATCTCTTCTCATTTTAGATTTTACTTTTCTTTGTTGCATGGATTTGAAGATTTTATTGGCTTTTGTTTTGTTTTAATAATTTTGCCTGAAGAGATGAACCCTCGTGCTAAGAAGCATTCTCTTTATTATTTCAACTTGTAGCCCTTAAAACTTTGCTGTCATCAGAGAAACACTTTCCACAAGTGTTTATCTCTATTCAATCTAATATTAAAGAAAAATTAAAAAAAAACATTGAACCTCTCAACTTGTGATCCAGTTAAGACAATAATATACATCAATTTGAAATACAATTTAAAAAATTAAAAAAAAATCTGTTTGTTTTTAATCTTTGTATTTTTTTTAATGATTTCATTTTGTAAATCGTTTTAGCTGATCCAGTCTTGAACTGTTGAATTAAACAAAATGAAATTAGAAAAGACAAGTAGTTTCTCATGAGACTTGAATTTGAACCCTGTACATAAATAACTTGTTTTATATGAACAATATTGTCAACATTTAACAGTCACCAACACTCCCACCCTGTCCCACCTCACCTTACTCTGGAAAATCCCTACTTGATCATAAAAGCTCTTACAGCTGAAACACTTATGTTATCCATGTAAAATAAGTTCTTAAGGTTTGGGATGTAAGTTCAAGCCTTGTAAGAAGCCTCCCTCTGATTTCATGTTCATATTGACTGAATCAGCTGCTAATATTTAATTAATAAAATGTTTAAGGTCAGAATATCAAAAACATCTTGAGAGTTTTATGAGTCTATTAAAAAGAAATATTTTTTTCTTTTTCTCTTCAATATAAAATTCATCTCGGAACCAATTTTCTTGTATAGCCAATCTTTTCAATTCTTTCATTACTGCTTTTATTTTTATATATATATATATATATATATATATATATATATATATATATATATATATATGACTATATCAGGTTGAAACACCAGTTCTCATATGATCACTGTAGTTAAGCAATATCAAGCCTGGTCAGTACCTAGATGGGTAACCACTTGGGAATACCAAGTTCTGTAAGGTTTGATGTGTGGGAGTGATGTAATGGAGAATGGCTTGGAATTGGAAATTGAGGAGCTGAGTTCCAATTTCACTTGGATTTGTTATATTTACTTATGTGCAAATACCCTTTGAAAACACATGAAACCGTCTCTTTTCCCCTCCCCCTATGGGTTAATTAGTAGGATTTGTATCAGTAAATCATTATTATCTTCAAAAATTCTTACAATCTAAAAATATATCCTGGCTTTAAATAACCTGCAAAAGGTTGATAAGCCATAAAAAACAATCAATATATATGTGTGTGTGTTTGGGGAGGCAATCAAGTGTCTCTCTATATTTACTCTTGTTCTCTTTTAGTCTATTTTTAACTTATTCTATATTGGTGTAAGTGCTAATTATTATAACTTTTCAATGTTAAAAATTATTTTTGTTAACATATTGGAATTAATTTTACATGAGTAATTTTCAACTAGTCTCCAACTAATATTGCTAAATAAAATGGGAGCAGATATTTCAGGTCATATTCTGAAAGCAGACATTTGATTTTCATCCCCTCCCCGCAGCTCAATAATTCTCACTGCAAATTTACCTTTTATACAAAAGACCATGTTGTACAAATCTAAATTTTTCATACACCTTCAGCATGAGGTAAATCAAAGATTGGTGCACCCACTACAAAAGTGCTGAACTCTATTCAGTATTAGATGACCCATGTTATTTTCATGTTGCCTCTTAGAATCTTGTTTTATTGGAAATTGCTTGTCCATTGCAATAATGTATTGATTATTCCTAATCATATTCAATGTCTTTCCTTAAACCAAACATTTGCTGATACTGCCATTCCACCTGCCTGCTACCTTCTGGTTCTATTGTTGCTATGTTTGCCTGCTATCCAAACTTGTTCTAAATGTCCAGAACGCACCAGCACTGATGATTCCTCTGAGCGAATTCGGCTTTCATTCACGTCCAAGGACAAACACGAAGAAAAAGTTTTTGCTCGACTCAGCAGATCATATAAGGTTTTTTCCTGTTTTTATCTTCATTCTTTGTGGCTCTAAAGAATCCAGACTGTGAAAAAGTGGAAGGATTTGTATAAAATCCCCAGAAATTTATTCTAAAAACCTTTTGTCTTTAACCTTTGAAAAAATTTGAACTGTTTTCTGTTTCCTAAATTGGTGCACATATGAAACCTCTCTCTCTCTCTCTAAGTTTAGCACAAAACCACATCGGAGGGAATATAGAGATTAGCACAATAAAATTCTTTCATAGAGAAGGGGCTTGCCTGCCTTCAAAATCAGCATACAAAACACTGTTTTACCTGGACTTGAACATTGCCCACTAGTGCAACAAGGTTTTTTTTTTTTTTTAAATGTATACACAATTTGGTAACTGGTATATTTGGTTTCTTAAATTTTAAGAATTTTATAATTAAAAGTAAATGTTACAATATTTTTTTTTCACCTAAAAAAGAAGTTACATATAGTGTGTTCCCATTTGGAGGAACACTTTGTGGGTGAATGTGTGAGAGACAGAGAGAAACAGACAGACTGACTTGCATATATAAGGATAGACCAAAATGTTTGAAAAATTAACCAAAAAATGATTTATCTTAACAGCTACTTTTCACCATCTCCATTAAAATAGTTTCTTTGGTCCAGCCAATAGCAATCATAAAATGGCATGGATAAAAGTTTGCATGCTCTTCAGATTCCCCAAATGTTGATTCTTTCTCTTAAATCTCATTTTGTGTCAAATGATGAAATTTTTACAAAGTTTATTTACATTACCAAGAGTTTGATATTCTTAAATATAACATTTAAGAATATAAAAATCTGTGTGTGTAGTTGAAAATCAAGCCATGACCATGTTTAAAATATGTGGATAAGCAATGTAAAAAAGAATATTTATTGAAAAACACTTAAAATATACAATTTTATGGACCTTGTCTATATTTATTTGAATTATGTTATTGAATGATTGATATTTAAAGATTACTTCATCATTAAGCAAATGAATATACATCAGCTAGTACACATATTGTGGCAAGTGTAGATTTTACAAATATGAGGATATACCTAATTAGCATAATCTTTTAGTCTTCCTTAAGCTATGAATACTGATTGCAAACCAATTGTATTCCCATTCTGATTTGTAAAATCCATACAGTTTCTTTTTAATGAAAAATAGTTTTGTGGAATTTGCCTACAGTTAATATTTCAACTCTTGATACTTTGTACTTTTCAACTTGATAGATCTTTTATATTGGAATGATTTAGATGAGGAATCATAGTTATTATATACCTTTCTCATCTTGGTTGTTATACTAACATTAAACAGTCATTTGTGGAACTTAAAAAATATCAAACTATAATTCACATTTATAAAATGCAATGCCTATCTATATAGGAGGGGGTATTGAAAAGTTCTAAGCCTAATCAAGACATGATTCCAGAACAAATCTTAATGTGTGAGCTGATAATTTTTCAGCACTTCCTAATATATCTGTCTATATTTCTTCTTACTACATATTTTTGTGTTTGTGTAACATTTTTCTATGTCTTCAGAAGAGTCCACTACATAGAGATTGGTGACTCACACATCTCTATGTAGGGGATTCTTCTGATGTAGAACATGGTCATGCTACAAATATCACGTTAAAGTAATAGTTGAATTGCAATTGCCTCTGTAGACAAATCTTTAAAGATATATTTAAATATACATGTATATATTAAAAATTAGTTTATTATTTTTTTTCATTAATAGCATGAGGCAAATCAGTTAATTTTAGTTTTATTTTAGTCTATAAGAAAATACATGGCAACAAATTTTTTGATGTTATACAAGTGCAATGCATATGAAAAAAATTACTTGAACATTTCATAATTTTTTATTGTATCTAAACTAATTATATTATAAATTTTGACTTCATTCATATTTTTCATAACTTTCCTTAGAAATAGTTATTGTTAAAAATCCTGCACCATTCCTATATAAGACCATAGTCAAATGCTATTTATGTATATATACAGAGAGAGGGAGATGTTTGTATTTACCATATACTTGGATTATTTTGGAATGCGATTACTTATAAAGATTCCCTCAATATAAATGTAAAGAATCTCAAATCTTTCACTTTCACACTCATTCTCTGAGCCATGATTTTTTTTTATTCCTACTAATTTTTGTCTATTCATGCTTTTATTTACCATTAGACAATAATAATAATAATGTTCTTTAAATATAAATGCATTGAGATGATTTAATAAGTTGTGTGATAGAAGAATGTAAAATTCTCAATTTTTATGTTCACTTAAAAGCAAAATACAATTAATAGACACTTAGACAAAAATTTCAAAATGACATCTTTCTGTTTGAAAAACTAATTAAGACAAACATGGTCTGATATTTGTGGTATGACTATTAACTAAAAATAAACTGGACTTATGTAACTTAACATTAATATTCTTGTTAATCTTGTTTTCATAGAAAATCAGCTGTATAGCTAAACCTTTTAATATTGTCTTCTTAGTAAGGTTATGTTCCTAAAAAAATAGTATTTACTCTTGGAAAATTTATATTTTAAAAGTTTTTTTTTATTATTTAATCATTAACTCTTAGAAGGTTATTAGTTTTTTTGTTTTCTTTTAACTGCATGGACGTTGTTATAAAACGTTCTTTTGGTTATTTTATGGTATTTTATTTTAAAATATGTCTGCTTGTAAAGCCCATTATCAAGTAATATTTTTAATATTCTTTTAAAGCAATTTCTTATTTTCCTTATAGATTTCTCAATCTTTAAATTAAAATTAAAATACAAAGTGAAATGTTATTTAGTCTTGTTTCCTAACATAAAGCTGATTTTGCTTTCTTTAACAAAATAACAGATTTTTAATTTGTTTTTTGCTTTTCGCTTTTTGCTTTTAAATTTCAAATTGATGCTATATAGCTGTGTATGTCATTTGAATAAACTGCCTTTACTTTTGAACAGCTTAGTCATCCACTGTATTTTTCAAGACTGTGTGAGTGTGTATGTTCAAATCTGGTCAGGGAAGCAACTTTTCATTACTCTGCTTACTTGTTTTTGTTTTTGTTTGTTTTAAGTTTTAAAGTTTTCTTGTGATTCTGTTTATTTTTTATCATAAAGTGTCACCATTGATCTCTTTATCTTGAGTATCATTTGCTTTATGCCTCTCTCAATTTCTTGCAGCAGAAGCATTTTATCTATTCTTCTTTTTTGTCACTAACCCATATTCTTGAATATTTATTATTGGTTCTTTGGTTTACTCAATGTAATCTGTTATTTTTCTTCTTTTTTTGCCTTGTTTGACACTCTTTAGAAAAGTTATTAAACACTTTCAATCACTATTGATTTGGAAATCATTCAGATGTATCTATTTTATTCTTCTATTTGATTTCTAAACAGTCTAACATTGTCCTTGCAACTATGCTGTGTAAATGTCAAGTAGACAATAATATTTCTGCAATAAAACTTGTTGATTTATAAATTTGTTTTATTTTAATATCTTATGTTTTTTTTAATTCAGTTTTCAATAAATAACAACTTAAGATACCGTAATCATAATTATAAAAGATTATGATAACATTATAACAATAAAAGTCAATTCAAATAACTTTAATAAAAACTGTTATATGACAGAAGGGTAACAAATTTAGTATAATAGTGTGTCACACAAAATTACATGTAGGAATATATAACCATGTGTATGTGTGTCTAATAATAGCTGTGTGATTCATACGCACAACCTAAATAGGAATGGCTAATTTTCCATAGTCATAAAAGTACTATTTTAATTGTTGGGAAGCACAGAATTATCCAAATTCTTTGAGATATCCAAAATCAAGTGTTGAGACTTGGATTATCATAGATTATTACTGTACAATCAAGCAGCATTTTCAACTTAAGAGTTTTTCCTTTCAACTCTTCTGCAGAACCATATTTAATCTTCTTTCATAAAAGTTTAAGTGATCTTCCCATTCAAATATTAGTTTGTGTATTGATCTGTAATCCCCACTGACTAAATACATTCTTCAATTTGATAAAACTACTTATTATAAAGAAAGTGTGCATGTCATTGAAGTAAGTGAATATCTATTACTGAAAGAGACAATGATTTTATTTTGACTTAAACCATTTAGAGGTCAAATTTTTCTTATTCTTTTCTCTGCAAATCCTTGAATACAAGAGAGAATTGGTGTAGTAGCAGGGGAGGAAGAAATACTAAAATAATATTATGGGTTTAAGTTTTCATTTCAATATCAATGCAAGGTCAGCTAATTAAGAAGAATTGAAAAGAAAACTATATTTGCGTTAAGGTTGCAATGCAAAGTTATCTTGATTTTGACCTACAAATATTTAAAAAAAATTAATTACCTAATTATAAAATTATTAAAGGAGTGTCTATTTTTCATAAGTATTTAAATTATTTCAAAACCAAAGATATTTATCTTAAAACTATTACTACTATTAATAATAATCCTACATCTAATGTTTCTATTTGAATAATACTGCAAAATCATTGTTGTCTATAATTATATTTTCTTAGATTAACTTGGGCTGAATTCTTTTTACAAGAGGCCATCGTTTTCATATATATATATACATATATATATATATATATATATATATATGTATGGGGTGGATTTTTAATTTATTTGTTTAAATGTTATTTTTTTTTTAAATGGATACTCATATTTAAGTTGGTCTAAGGTATGTCAGATCTAATGACAGTTTCTCTTAGTGGATGCAAATTCGAATTCTGGTGGAGCACACATATTTTTCTAACAAGATTTCTCGAATATTCAGGTTGGTAGATGTAAACAAATAAATATACTGTTTAATAAATAAATCAAACAGAGCATCTACTCTAATATGAATATCAATTTAAAAAATAACATTAAAACAAATATAATATATATATATATATATATATATATTTAGTTGGATAGTTGAAGATAAAGGTCAACTCTAGACTTGAATAAGTTAAGATTGTAGTGATCA